ATAAAAAAAATATAAAATTAAAATTCTTATTTACACCTTTACTCGAAAGGAAGGCTATAAAAGTAGGATTTCGACGTTACTCGCCGGCCACATAGAAGCATGCAAAGGGAGTAGGGCTGGATATGGTTCAATTTTGGTTGCAACTGAAATTGAATTGATGGCTAATTAAGATTTTATTTAATATGATCATAATTTTGAGTTTTTTATTTTAATTTTTAAAATATTAAAACCTTAAAATGAAATTAAAATATTTTTATAAATTAATTAAATTTATAGTTGCTGATATTTGCTTTAAAATTTTATTTTTTTTTTATTTTTTTGATAAAGTTTTATACTTAATAAGTTAGTAATTTTAATTTTTAATTTTAATTATTTAAATTTTGAAAATTAAAATAAAAACTTAAAATGACAACCATATTAAATAAAGTCTAAATTTTCTATTATTAGTTTTTAGTAATCAATAATCATACCAAAATTATCATAATTTTTGAGTTGATCAAAGCTCTTATTTGCACTTTTCATTTATACTCTTTATATGGTCAACATTTTTCAAAAAAAATTTTTCTTATTCACATCCTTTATTTTTTTTAATTTGTAAAAAACTTAATATTTTAATAAATTATTACGTAAACATTAATAACTTCTTTAAGGTAACATGTGGTACTCAAAGAGCAGCTTAAGCATTATGTGACTTATTAATTCGATATGGAACTTTTTTTTTTATGATATGGCATAATTTTGGATGCCACGTATGCAGGGAACCACTGAAAGTAAAAAAAAAAAAAAACTAAAAGAGGGACTTTACGAAAATAATACTCATTTATTTTCTGAGTGGGGACCACGTGTGCCTCCCAACCTCGACCACCATCACGGCTACCATCGAGTACCAGCCTCACCACCGCCATCACCCGCCTCCGCCTGCACCAGCGTCGCAGCGGAGCCCCAACTCCTCTTCTCCCCCGCCGATCTCCTCCTCTTATTACCCTTCAGTGCCTCACATGCTCCTCGCGCTATGCAACCACTCTCCTCCTCCTCCTCCTTCCTTCGTTATCCTCTCCTCTCCCTTTTTTTAATAAACAAATACGTCTGTTTCTCTTATTTCCAACCTTGGATCTATGTGTGTGTTCATTCTTCCTTGCAACTTGTTTGTTTTTTGCACGTTAATCTTTTCTTGAATATATCTAAAACAAAGGTTTTTGTTTTATGAAATTAGTCGGGCAGAGCCATTAATTTGTAAGTTGGGTTTCTACTTTTCTTCTATTCTTTAGTCAGATATTTATAAAAACCTACATAGTATGTAATTTGAGATTCCTTCTTCTTATCTGAATCTTATATATATATATATATATATATAAAAGCCTAATTATGTTGTAGTACTCTTTACTAGTTGTCCACTTTAATTTGAAAAAAGATTTTGTTGTTTTGATATATACACTACAAGGAAATGAGTTTTTTGTGATGGTAAAATTAGTTATAAAAATAAAATTTTTTAGTCATAAATTATATTTGTATCTCAAATTTGATTGATCATTGTCCATTACAAATATTGAGTCACTTAAATTAATAGTAACTAATTTTGCATTTGTGACAACAAATCATAATTTTAGTGACGGTAAAAATAAACACAATTACTAGTATATTTATAACGATTTTATACGTCACAATGATGATTATTTGTGACAAAATAATTAGACAAAAAAAGAACATTTGTAACTTGTATAACTCGTCATAGAAAAAATTATTTGTGACATAAAATTTGGTTGTTAATATTGAATCATTTGTGATCACTACTAGAAAACGCAGTATATTCGACAGAATTTTCTGTCGAATATACAGACATTCCTGTCGATTATACTTTAATCGACAGACATATTCGACAAAAAAAGATGTCGTATAAAATACAGTCGATAATCAGTATATTCGACAGAAATTTTTTCTGTCGAATACACATGTTTAATCAACAGATACTTACTGTCGAATATAATTATTATCGACAGAATTTCATAGCCAGATTTATAATTGTAATAGCTTATATTCGACAGCTATTGGCTGTCGCTGTTTAATCGACAACCATTGGCTGTCGAATATGTTTTTTTATTTTTTTGGGATTATATTCGACAGTTAT